TGCCACTGATCAACTTGGAGTCGTCGAACTGGAGGCATCGCACAGCCGATGTGTGTCCACGCAGGGTGCGCATAACCTCGCCCGTCTCGATGTTCCAGATTCTAATAGTCGTGTCGTAAGAGCCAGTTGCCATGATGTTGTCGTCGAATTGCAAGCAAGTGACGCCATTCTCGTGACCCTTGAACGTCTTGATGGAGCACCGACCGGTCTTCCAGTTGTACCCCACCTTGAATCTATCCCTGTACACATCCTTCCATGGTCGGAACTTACGCTCCTGGTCCAGCTGCTGCCGCGCACCAGAAGCTCCATTGGCGCGTTGTCGCTTCGCCGGTCGGTCTTGATCGTTCTCATCGGGGGAAGGACGCTTTTGCGCCGGCGCGGACTCGGGAGTGTCGTCGTCGACCTCAACCACGGCGTGAGTAGGCGCATGTTGGTGGCCCTGCTGATGACGATTCCAAGCCAGCAACTTCTTTCGCTCCAGGAGGGGAAGTCCCCAGCCACACTTGGTACACTTGCGGTCAATGTGTTGTTCGCACATGCGGTGCCACACAACATCGTCATCGGCGAGGCTTCGCCATCTTCGGCTGACCTGGGCGGCTTTACAGAGCGAGACAGTGTCGAGAGAGCAAAGAATCTTGTAAGAGAGTTCGTTGGGAAGGGCGGCAAGGAAATCGATCTTGAGCTGCTCCTGTACCTCGCGGGACACGGTTGAGAGTTGAGGGAAGCAACACTGAGTGATGATCCCTTGAAGCATCAACTCACGATGCTTGGATGGGGCGGCGGAGAATATCGACCACACGTGAGTAATGGCTTCTTGATCGGCTGTGGACAGGCTGTTGAGTTCCTGAAAGGGGTTCATGTCAGTAACACGACAGGACACAAAAGCTAGGGCGTGGGTGGTGGACTATGGGCGGAGGCATTGAAAAGGGACAACACTCACACTCTGAATGAATCCCATCTTGGTCTCGTCGGCGGCGCGACGGCACTTGGAGTCAGGGCGATGGCGGTAACAGAACTTGCTGTTGGGATCCCGCTTGCGGACAGTCGGGGCCGAGTGCACATTGACGACGCTGCCGAGCTGCCTGTTCTTGCCGATGGGGGCATAGAGGCCGGGGATGTGTTCTTTTAGGAAGGGACTGACGGTCTTGCCAACGAGTGCTGAAGACATCTTGACAAGTCGAGGGTTGATCTCCTCGTCGGTTCGGGTTCTATCGCAGTTGTCTTTGGAGGGGTGCTGTTGAGGTTGGGGTTGGGGTGGGTGTCGGAGGTGCTCGATACCGGCGTCTGACAGCCTCACGGATGGTGAAGGGCCAGGCTCACCGGTGCCAACAACAGAGGGTACAGGCGTGGAAGAGGATAATGAGGTCGAATTCGGGTTCAGGGAAGAGGCGGCATGGCGGTGTATAGAAGCTGAAGTCGAGGTGGTCGAAGCACTCGAGACAGTGGAGGAAACGGGAGCGGAGGAGTCGGAGGGCTGGTGGCCGTTGACGAGCATCGGGTGGTCCATTGCGCAGCGACCAAGGTTTCTGGGCGAAGAGTTGCGCGATGGGAGGGCAAGATATCGTAACTCCCTGTCCAAGTCTGGGGAAGGGGACCGAAGGCCGAAGGGTGACTCGACACACGCCCCAACGACTGTGGCCTCTTGCGGAGGACCTGAAAGAGGGCCTGAGACTGAGAGCCTCTGAGGCAACGCCGTCCAGCGATGGCGTGCTGAGCTCGCAAGTGCACTGGGCTGGCCCACCCAAGAGTTTGCGCCAGAACCCCCGTCACAACCTGGTCGCCACCCCGTCAGCCTTCTGTGCGACGGTCGGTCGGTTGCTTTTAGGCGGCACTAGGCCTAAAGTACACAGTACGGACGGGGCACTGTCCGCTGTATCAGGTTAGGTCTGGTCGGGTTGCGTGCGATGAGGTTTCGGGAAGCGGCGTTGCGTGGGATGCCCGATAGCTAGCGTTTCTGAGGTTCTGAGGTAGGTGTGTAATGAAGGAGTTGCGTAGGTGAGCCAGAGAGCGGGCGAGAGGTGTTGGTGGTGGATGCGATAGACGGGCCTTCGGGTCGTCGGCGGGAAGGCCTGGGGGATCAATTATGGTGGTGCCCTCGCCTGCCAGTGTCCCACTGCAGTGACTGATCACTGAGCCGACTTCTGGCCGCCTGGAGACATGCACAGCGATAGGGCCAAGGCGGGGGGGGAGCGAAAGAGAGGGGCGGCAGATGCAGCCATCGGAATCTGTTCCCGCATGGGGCAGGTTTTTCTCAACTTTGCCTTTGACTTTACGTACAAGAGAGTCACCGAATGCCGTGTCCTACAAAGGAATGTGTGAGAGCCTGACCTGGCTGGTGGGAGCAACTACGCTTACATTTCGTTGCTTGCGTTGCGCCTCGATCGACCGGCTGCAACGCAACCTCGGACGGCTCTGTCGTGCAACCCTGCGCCCGTGTGTTGATGCAAGCGCTGTCCTACGTCAGTACTAATGAAATGAATAATATGCAATTACTTCGTACCTTCCTACATAGTATGTGGTACAGTATTTCGCCAGCCCAGCTACCTTCTAGATTCAAATCTTACTTCGTACCGCCCTTGGGCCCTTTGACGACACTAACATGGCCTCTGCTTCCCCAGGGCCTGGCGTGTTAGCCTCCTTTGGCCTTCTTCCTTGAGCGACCACCCGAACGGCCCTAGGGCCCCCCCTGGAGGTACGGTATCCCCTGGGCGCAGCACTCAGGCGGCTGCAAATTCCCCACGGCTCACAGGACCATTGTTCGAATTTGGCCCCGAGATGGCGTTATCGCAAGGGCTGCTTGCACCGATCGGGCGGGTGGGCAATAGGCTGACGGATAAAGCGGGGCCCGGCACGGCAATCGGTCGACGGCTCGCCGGCTTTTGTGCATTCCACCTTCAAGCACGAGATGAACTTTACGGATGGGATTTTTGCCACTGTGTCGCGGCGATGCGATTTGGCAGCAAACTCGTCATCATCACCAATTTCCACGATGCTTTAGGGCTGTTGCTGACACCGCACCTCTCAGGGTCGTATGCCGCATACTACGTAGAGTGACGGTCTAGCTCGCCCCAATTCATTCGCACGAAGAGTCGCAGTATGCGGCCAACTGGGGCATGGACGGGTCCGTCAGGGTCGTCTAATGCACCATTTGTTGCGTTCGTCTTGCTTTGTCGCTCGCCCTAACGCCATGGTGCATACTGTGCTGTGCTGTGATGCGTGACAGGGGAGCATCCCGACACAGCCCTCCCATTTGACCACTTCGACGCCCAATCATGACCGTTTTCTCTCGTCCTCGCGCATATCTGCATTTTTTAAAAGTCATGGTCTTTTCTTTTTCGCCCCTCTCTTTCTCTTGGGCACGTCCTTGGCCACTTGTTTGCCCTCCCACTTTGGATTGCTTACATACCCTATTTTCGCATTTCTCACACAAGACAAACAAACCATGGCATCTCCATGCATTTCGATCAGCCTCGAACCCGCTCGATCCTTTACCGAACCCACTCCAACAGCCGCGACCCCATCGATGGAATTATTGCACACGCCCTCGAATTCGGCATATCCCATCTTTCGAATGACGTGATCGCGCCAATCCGTCTGGGCCTTCGTCTGTCTTGATAGCTATCAGCCATCAGCTGGGGTTTGCCGCCACCCAAACGCCATATGTCCTCACCGAGATCCGACCTTACGACATGGCCTCACCTCACACACCTTGTGGCCCCCAGGATTGCGGCTCAAGAGTCACGACTCACAACCTGGCCATCAACACAACTCCCTAGGCCATGCCGCCATCGAATATTACAGATCATCTCCCGTGATTCTGTCGCAATGCGTCTGTGTTGACCCCCCCGGCAAGCCAGCCGCTCTACCGGTTTCGGGTGACACAGCTCATCAGCGCTTGCTCACTCAGCTCCTTGAGCACATCATCGTCTGGCCCAGCGGTGCCGAAGCCAATCTCTGAGCGCATCTGCCTTAACATGTCATAGTCACCTCATCAGCGGTTGCTCCTGGGACCTTCGCCATCTCTGAGCGCCCGCTGTCAACGATTTCATCAGCTTGCGTCGCAATCTTCCGACATCCATGCGCAACTCGGCACTCCCTTTCGCAACGATCCCCTGTTTCCGGTGATCCCGAAGACCACCAACTCGTCGGCATCGATGAAGATCTCTCCGAGTTCCAAGAATCCCTCCGCAACATGTCTCAGTGTCAAGAGCGGTCAGTTCGCGCCGTTACAAGTTGGCCTCCACTCGCTTGCTGGCTTGCATCTTGCATGTACCAGGATATATCCCAACCGTCTTGTCCTACCACACGACTTCTCCAACCACGTATCTCGCCCGCCAGCGCGGGCTCACACCGCAGTCCTTGCGACATCGCGTGTCGGTATGGCGGCATGGCAACGCGAAACATGGCTTGCGCCCCTATTGCCCAGCTTCTGCAACCGTCTTTACCCTAGGTGTCTTGATTGAGGCTGTGTAATGATCTTGGCAGCCTGTAGATGCAAGAGGCTCAAATCCTACCTAAGTGACCCGTATCTCCCACTTTTCAGTCTTTCGCCATTTGAGGCCGCGTAGATAATGCATGCACCATGTATTCGAACAGGCGGAGAAGTCCACCAACGCACGTCGCACTGTATATAAGATGCAGGCTTGATTGGACGCCGAGCACTGCAGTGTTGCTTTTGCCCGTGCCTTGGCGAGACAACTCTGTTGTAACCCTCCAATCGAAACGAGAAGCCTTGAAATCAGGCATACCGCCAGGACAGAAGCCTGACTGTGATCTAGATCGTGTCGATTGGAAGCTTATGAAGCCGCATACGTGTGATGAATTCCAAGCTGCAGATCAGTCAATATGCGCTAAGCATCCAGCCCTAGCGAATGGATCTCTCTCCACACTCCTCCACACTCCCTCCACACGCACGCACACACTTGCCTCTGTGCTAGGAGCAGAACTTGAGGCACTTTTCTGAGCTCGCTCGCCATCAACAAGCGGGTCCCAGGACTCCGGGTGAGATGGCCGAGTTGGTTATGGCGTCAGGTTAAGGTTACCTTAACACCTACTTCCTGGTGGAGCAATCCTCCTGGGTTCGAATCCCAGTCTCATCATGTTTTTTTGCCATGGACCTTGTTTTCACTTTTTGTTCATGCCCTTCCTTCGCCTTGTATGTCTGGTTTCTGATCCCGAGGCACGCTCTGATGCGATTGGTTACATGTGGTTGAATGAATGTCGTATCTGCAGTTCGTTGGAGATGTTGTGGAAGCTGGACGGCACAGTAACTTCGCAACCGCCGATCATCAATCGGTTTAGACATCAAACCTTGGGCGTCAGTTTATGCTTTGAGCTGGCCCAAGTCTCTTTGCCCAGGCGTGACGATCCTTCAATGTAAGTCAATAGGGCTGCTACTCCTCTTTTCCAGTCCAGAGAGACGGCCTCAGGGAAGAGATCCTGTGCATACCCGTTTTGGCTCTTTCTATTTCAAATCATCACAACGCCCATTTCCATCCCAGACATACTTTATATTCTACAAGTTCGTAATACAACACGGCTGCTTTCTTTTCCGCAGAAGCCGGTGTCACCTTCCCTATGTATGCCATGGCAGGTGTCTCAATTTGCGACATTGCAACACTCTTCATCCTAGTACGTGGCTTAGTCGTAGGGAACCTCATGTCGGGCAGAAAATTCAGTGCTAAGTTCCAGGTATCATTTTCTCACCGTTCCTTGATCTCTTCGCGAATGCACTGATGCGGTCACCAAGTTGCAGGGAGCTAATTCAGTAGCTCAACGCTCAAATCAGCAGCTTCAATGGCAAAACGACTTAAGCATTTGTATCAAAAATGTCTCCTGGAGTGGGTATCGTACTTGAGCTGTGTGTGAGTGATGAGCCACCGGTTTACGGCATCTTAGCATTTGAGTGAAGGGTTAATATAGCCTGCAGGTGTGCTCGTTGCGACGGTGTGGATGTTGGTCATGATCTTTAGTTTCATTATGGGATGCGGCTGTGGATCGATCGCAACACGTCCGATTAGATAATTTATAGGAACGGCGTATCAAAGACGCAATAAAAGCTCGAGGAAAGTGAAACTGGCTAGAGAAGCATTACATAGTGTGATACAAAGGTTCGGTTGAGATAAATCTAGTTAATCTGAGGGAAGTCTAGGGTAGGCGCGTGGAATTGCCCCGCGAAATGGATGCGCCCCACTAAAATCTGCCTCGAAATTCTCTGACATCCAAACAGCCTGTGGCTCAGTGTTTTGAAAGAACTATAGCCAAGCGATCCTTTTCTGATCCTCTCTCCCCACCTCATCGCAACTAGATGCAGCTATGGCAGCTGACAACGAGGCTCCTGTCGCGAGCAGCGCTAACAACTCCCGCCCCAGCGAGGGCTCGGGCAGCGGCAATGCCGATGGCGGCGCTGCTTCCAAGGACCAGTCTGGCAAGGATGGCTTCCGTCGCAACCCTCGACACGACCACCGAACCCGCGGCAAGGGCCGAAGCGAGAAGGGACGAGGCGAGTGGGGGTATGTTTTCTCATTGCACAGCTTTGACGGGGTCACACGTACCAATGGGGCTAACCAGATGCTAGACGACAGAAGAACGACAAGCGCAAGAAGAACGACGAGTATCATGAGTACAAGCGTCGCAAGCTGAATCCCCAGGGAGACGCTGCCGTGTCCGAGGCCAACAACCCCTTCTCCAAGGACGAGATCGCCGCCGAGGAGCGCCGCCCCAAGCGCAAGGTCGCTGTCTTGATCGGCTACGCTGGTACCGGATACAAGGGCATGCAGGTCAACGGCGATGAGAAGACGATCGAGGCAGACCTGTTCAAAGCCTTTGTTGCCGCCGGCGCCATTTCCAAGGCCAACGCTGACGACCCCAAGAAGTCGAGCCTGGTCCGTTGCGCGCGAACCGACAAGGGAGTTCACGCCGCTGGCAACGTCATCAGCCTGAAGCTCATCATCGAGGACGACAACATCATCGAGAAGATCAACGAAGCCCTGCCTGAGCAGATTCGCGTCTGGGACATCCAGAGGACCAACAATGCCTTTAGCTGCTACCAGCTCTGTGACTCTCGATGGTATGAATACCTCATGCCGAGCTACTGTCTCCTGCCCCCCCACCCCGAGACCTTCTTGGGCCGGAAGCTTGTCGAGATGGCCAAGGAGCACGGCGTGGAAGACGATCTCAATGCCAAGATGGCAGACGTGAAGGACTTCTGGACCGATGTGGAGGAGAAGGAGATTAAGCCTATCCTGGCGCGACTGGACCCCGAGGTCCGCGCTGCTGTTCTGGCGCGCTTGCACGTCGCCGAAGATTCTCAGGAGACCGATGACAAGGAGGAGGACAAGAAGGAGGAGGCTGTCGCAGAGGAAGAGAAGCCTGCGGCTGAAGGTACGGCTGATCCTGAAGCACCCCAGGCCACTGTCACCCTCGAAAGCCATCAGCCTAAGGGCCGCGAACTCGGCCCCGTCGACTTTGCGCTCCGCGACATCAAGGCTGCTTACGTCTCGGCCAAGAGACGCTACCGCGTTACTCCCGACCGTCTCAAACGACTCCAGGACACCTTGGACAAGTACAACGGCACGCGTAACTTCCACAACTACACGGTGCAGAAGTCCTTTTTCGACGCCTCAGCGAAGCGCCACATCAAGTCTTTCATCGCGAATCCCGAACCTATCATTATAAACGACACCGAGTGGCTCTCGCTCAAGGTGCATGGCCAGAGCTTCATGATGCACCAGATTCGCAAGATGGTTGGTCTGGCCAGCTTGATGGTCCGATGTGGCACCCCTCTCGAGCGTGTTGAGGAGAGCTACCTCAACCAGAAGATGGCCATTCCCAAGGCCCCCGGCTTGGGATTGCTGCTCGAGCGACCTGTGTTCCATAACTACAACCGAAAGGCGACTGAATCATACCAGAAGGACTCGATCGACTTTGCCAAGTACGACGAGAAAATTCTGGCGTTCAAGGACAAGCAGATTTACCAGCGAATCTTTAACGTAGAGGAAAAGGACAGCTCGTAAGTTTGATCGTAACCGCGACAAGAGACTGGAAATGCTAACATGATACAAGGTTCCACATGTTCTTCAACCAGATTGACCAGTTCAAGACGAACCACTTCTTGTGGCTCACTGCTGGCGGCATGAAGGCGGCAGAGATTTCTCGAGACTCGACAGGCGAGAAGGTGCAGCGAGATGTTGACAAGCGATTGGGCGACGATGATGAGGATGAGGACCCCGAGAATGGCGAGGGCTAAATAGAACAGCATTAGACATGGTATGAGATGGTAATGAAAAGCACTTAGATGTCCTGTATAGCATTCGCTCGCTCTTGTAGGGAACAATTGAAACTTCTCTCGTCATTTGGAGCAGTCTCTGAACGGGATGATGGTTCAGGCCCACGTGTAGTGAACTGTGAGACTAGCGATAAGTTGAACTTTTAATACCAGTGGCATGCATATGCTGCTATATGCTTTGAATTGTACTTTTAACCCGCCGAGGTTGTGGGTATCTACATCCGTCCTCGTCCCGAAGCAAACCCCAACGCCCAAACCAAACGCCCGTCACGAAGCCCGTCTCCAACACGACCGCTCACCGCCCTGCCGTCCCCGATGCCGCGCCCGTCCTATCAGCCTGCGTAGTAGCTGTTACAGTAGTAGAGGCGGCAGCCGCGGAGGAGGAAGCGTCGTCGCCGGAGCCGAGGGCCTCCCAGGAGCCGCCGCAGCGCCGGGCGAGGTCCTCCATGCCGGCAGCGTTGAGCCCGTCAAGCAGCGATGCGACGGCGCCGACGTCGCGGTCGATGCGCTCCTCCTTGGCGCGGGCGTTGGGGTCGCCGCGGCCGAGGGGCCCGAAGACCCAGAGTTCCTTGATCTTGCGGGAGAGGGCGAGGAGTTCTTTAACGGATGTGTACTGCCCTGATGTGTCAATCCTTGCTCTGTTTCCATTCTTGTGCTGTCCCATTTTCGGCAGGGTGGCAGAGACGGGGACTTACCAGGCAGTCAAACTCCATCTTCATCGAGATGCCCGTCACGGCGATGGCTTCCGGGTTGGCGTTGTTGCGCTCGCCCTCGGCCTGGATGGTGGCAAGCATCATGAGGGTGCGGTAGCGGGTGAGGACGTCAGCCACGAGGCGGTTGTGCGTGTCTAGAGACGGGAGAGAGTCAGCGTCTTTGTCTCCTCCATGGAAAAACGTGTGTTCTTCATGGTGGGTTGGTGCAAGCCCAAACGGTATTAAGAAGAGCTCAAGAGATGGGGCGGCATCTTACCCATGAGATTGGACGACGCTGGCTGTGAGCGGTCCATCTTTGGCGAGCGGTTTCTAAGGGTAAGAGTAACCTCTAGAGGGGGATTGGGGGTTTGGGAAGGGTAAAAGAGTGTGAGGGGTGACAAGGACAAGGGTGGCTGCACACAAAGTCGAGATGGCGATGAGATACGATGCAAGGCTGGCAGTTCAAGCTTGAGTTTGGCTTTGGCGTTGTTTGGCGTTGGCGCACGGCTTGCTTGGCCTTGGTGGTGGGAAGTTGGTGGGGGTGGGGCCTGGAATGGTTCCGCAAGTGGCGGTGGGGTGTAACATCAATGATCTTTACTGGGAGCTTCATTCTTGGTATAAGTCAGTGATGTTGTTAGAAGCAATTGATAGATCATGATGGGACCAAAAGATAATACACATAGGGCATACAAATGGCGTTGACGTTTCATTCCACATCTTCTAGACTCCCACCCCCATTCTAGTGCTAATTTTGTCCCACTACTCTGTGTGTAGGTACGCAGATACAGAGATGCCGTTGCCCTTATTACCAGACGCCCATTTCAGTGAATCCCATATTAAAACAGCCCAACCCAGAACAACCCAGCAAAGGCATATACTAGCGACCTTTTGAAATGCCCCAGCCGCCGAGACCAAACTCCCCGGTCAATGCAATCCAGATTGCGCGCGGGGCTCTGGCATCATCATCTCTCCCTTTCGACTCGTACACGCGGCCTTTCGTCGGTTGCCGTTTGACATTCTTACCAGTCTCACTGGTTCTCTCATCCATTCTCTTGCAAAGTCTCTCCCTCTACGGCAGCCCAGACCACCCTCGGTCCTCCTGCTTCCACCCCTTGTGTGG